CAGAGATTCCCAGTCCAGAACAATAATGTTAAAATGATAGAAAAAAAGGAGACAAATCATATAAAATTAACTAGATCTGAGTTTTCTAAGAATCTGCTCTTTGGAATTTCCTTTTCAATGCCACTATCGATATCACACCAAACAAGACTTTTACAGGGAAAATTCAGGACCCCAGTTACATTTACATTTTGCTTCACAACAAAATCTGTTCTGAATACTTGCTTCAAATAGTGTGCATCAATAATTAAAAACCTATCCGGAGCTAAGCCATCAACCATGAGAATGTGACGCAGTAGGGTGTGGGGTTAGGAGCTTGTGAGATTGTGCTGAAGGGGTAAAGAGAGCCGATAAAGAAAAGCAAGACAGGAAGAGGCAGACTCCTCAGCTAGACTAGAACAGAATGTCTGATTTCAGGTATTCATTTGTATGGCAGCTCAAATTTACTGTGCCACCATCTACCTTGAGGGGTGATGGGATCAGGCCAAACAGAGTGGAGCATTTATCAGGAGGAGGCGATCAGACCATTGTGGTCAACTGTGCACTACGTCCTCTGGAACGTTCCTTCAGTTCGCCTGACCCATGGATGGCCAGAGAGATCAAACACCCGTACAGAATTCAACCACCTCTTGATTCCAAGAAACGAAGACGAACTGAAGCCCTTGTCAAGAGGGCAGCATCACACAGGATGATGCGCAAACATCACTTCCCTGAACGATCTTCTTACGTAGCGACTCGTCGGGAGGTAGGAATGACCATGGAGCCTGAAACAGTGACAGGGGCATATCAGATGACTCTTCTTCCTGTAGCTGGATTTTATTTGAGAAGGAAGCCTCTCTATTTTCTGACCCTTTGAGTGTAGAGTGACGTAAGTCAACTGTCAGCTCTCTGCCTTGATCCTTACCTTAAATTATGAGATTACACACAGTAAAAGTAAGAGCCAGATTAGATAATTTGAAACAAAATTGTGCGGTGTAAGTGTAGCAGAGGAAAAGGGGAACAACTGTGTACCTGTGTCTCAGTTATGGAGCTATTTCAAGTCAGATCTATCTGAATTCTTTTTCCGTCAGAATTGGCTGCTTTTAAGTGAGAACCAATGACTAATGATACCTGTTGCAATTTTTGTCTAGAAATAGCTTCCTTGGGACTTGAAAGCCATGCCTCCTAGAAAGGTAGGTCCTTAAATACCACCATAAATTCATGAACTTAGAAGATTAATACACACATGGATTCTTCCTGAGTTGTTTCCTACAGCATCCTCCCATTGATGGATGATGGAAAGCAGGATCTTTCCGACTGATACAACACCGGAGAGCCAGGTGCCTTCATTCTTCCAAGCACATGACATAGGGTGGCGAGCACAAACTAACCATTCAGAAAACACATGTCCTCTCCTTCTTTGCCCACATCTAGGCTGCATGAATCTGACTGCCGCCTCATAACCGTAACCTGGTGACCGGGAATTTGCCAGTGAGATGTGAGAAGACACAACACACCTTCCCTACGCCACTCCTGCAGCCGCAACTCCTGAAACTACCTGGAAAGCTTGTGTGGAATACTGGGAAACAACCAAGCGAAGTACTGACATTTTTTAAAATCATCTTATGGATGATTTAAGCAGGAACACACCTTCACAAACTGAATGCACAGAAAATAAACTCCTGTTGTGCTAAACCCTCAAGACTGTGGAGTTCACCTTTGATAGCAGTGATTCTCACCATGGCTAGTACTTGAATTTGGCATTAATGTCACCCTCCCCTGTTTCCACAGGAGTGGTCAGGGATTCAGAGAGATCAAAGGACTTACTTTATTGTTGGTGTGGTTGAACTAAATTCAATATGAGACCTTCTACCTCTGAGTCTTGCGACTTTTATCAAATAACATTGTCCCTCGCCCCAAATCTTTGATTTTCAGGAGATTATATGTGCTTTGCATACCACTTGAAGACTTTATTTCATAAATGAAACATTTTCCAGTCTCATCCCAGAATCTCATGCAGGGATAAGAGACAAGCCTGTGGGTTCTTATCTGGGCAAGAGCTACCACATAGCTTCAGTTCTAACCTCATCTTGATAAATCCATTTGAAAACCAGTACAGCTCTTAATTCCAGGATTTGCAATTCTAACTTTTGTCTCAGGGGTAAGCTCTAGGGGAAATTCCCTTTATTTTCAAGTGGCTGTTTCATTCCCTTCCATTGTTAACAATAAAAAGGGAAGTGTGCCTATGGAAGCCATTATTCTAACCAGTTTGGGGGACTTTGCCACAAACAGATCTAGACACATCTGGTGGAGCTCTGAAGAGACCGAGACTGAAAGACAAACCTTACTGGGGTCAGTTAAGGACTTCATCACAACACCCAGTGTGAGATCCTGGAGGTATAGCGGGAACCCTACCAAGGGGGGATAGACAACGGAAAGACAGTCCACAAAGCGATGTGACCCTTCTAACATAGCCACAGATACGGGAAAACCCAACCCCTGCCGTCAGAGCCCCCAAAGCTGCTGGGGCTGCCATGACTATGAAAAAATACCCCCATTTCCCCAACAAGAAACATCTCACTGAATTTCCATATCAAAAGACAGATGGCCCCCTTGAGACCTGGGCTGCACACATTATTTTAGCTTGTTCCTGGAAACAGAGGCAAGAGACACTGTCTTTGCTTCTGGTTCCCAAGTGAGCCAAGAAGGACTGACGAGGTAAGGAGACCAACGAAAGCTGTGCTTCCCACAGTGATGGAACATTGGACAGAAATTGCATTTCTAGGCCTCAGGCTAAGAATCATCACATCTCTATCTGTAAGGCTGTTCTCCAAGACAAACTTAAAATTTACTATGTAATAAGGCAAAGGATGGAGAGAACTTTCAAAGTTCTATTATAATATAAATAGAACAGTTACAATAGCAAAAGCAATAATAATAATTCGCCAAACAGGAACGAAGGTCAACAACAGCTCGGCAAGATTGCGGCAATATACTTCAGCGTTCATAGGACAACAAACAGCCCAAGCAGAGCACTGCCATATCAGACTATAACACCTATCTCAACATGTATTATGAGTATACCGCTCTTACTTATCGGCATTAGTTAGCCACATAAATAAAAAGGGAAGTCATCTATTCCTAGAGCCTAGAAAGTAGAAAAGCAAGTAAAATAAAAAATGGTCTATCAGCCTCTGAATTTTCCAAGTCATACGTGAAGTGAATAATAGAAGCAGTGTTCGAGAGACTCATCAACTGAAACAGAAAGGGCCATTTGGAACCGCTACCACCCGGCCCTGCAATACACACACAGACACAGAGAGAGAGAGAGAGAGAGAGAGAGAGAGAGAGAGAGAGAGAGAGAGAGAGAGAGAGAGAGAGAGGAGCTCCTCAAAAAAAAGGAGAGGACCAATACCTGATATCGTCCTCTGATCTCTAGATACACACCAGGACATGTTTGTGGGCCCAGATTAACACACACACACAAACACACACACACACACACACACACAGAGAGAGAGAGAGAGAGAGAGAGAGAGAGAGAGAGAGAGAGAGAGAGAGATCTGTATTTTAGGACAAACCAGAGCATCTTTTAAAAAGAGGGGACATCGTCTGAGCGTGTAGCAAAAGCCATGTTTTGCTTTAGTGAGAGATGAATGTGAGTCATAGCCAGTGTTGCTTTGATAAAGGGGACCTCTGCAGAAGAGTCAGCAGAGGGAGAAATTGAAAATACTGCGTCCATGTAGAAATCGTCTATACATTTTGCCTCTGAAAAGCCATCAGTAAAACAAGGAAAACACTTTGCCCCGACAACAGAGAAGGGTGTGTGGCGTCTCCACAAAGCAACTCTTGCCAGGGGACGAGGCTCCCACCGGTGCTGGCGCTTGTCCCGTGTTATGCCCCTATTTTGTCTCTCGTTGTCCGTTTCTGTGTCTGCTAGAGCAATAGGAAGAGAACATAGTGCGGTGCGCTTCTGGACGTGACAGACGGGAAAGGCGAGAGCAGACCCACTGGTGGCCAGGTGTCCCGTTTCCGGGAAAGGCTGTCAGGAGCTGGCACACGGACTTCCCACCAGTTCAGATGGCTCGGTTTATCAGCACACGGAGTGCAGGGAAGAGCAAGCAACATTAAAACAAAGCAATACTGGAGCTGGGGTTGTGCCTCAGAGGTAGAGTATGCGGCTCACAAAGCAAGGACCTGGTCCTTAGCACCCCACAAGCACAGGGAAATAAAACAATGCTCCCGAAGTTCCTCTTAAGGCTCTCCTGGCAGATGTAGCAAATACCATTGATTCACCCTGTCTGGAAACAGACTTGTTCCGGGAGCGAGGGGAGGTTAGAGCTAGAGTGGGTCCTTTGGACGCAGTGACTCCCGAGGCCTAGAGTCAACTACACTTCCTTCTTATTCTCCCTCCAACCCAGCTGATGGCGGAGGGGTTGTTTCGGAGGTTTCCGGCGTGGTCTTGTGATTAGGAAAGCAGGAACTCCGGCCCTCTGCTCTATTGCTTGCTTCACTGGAAAACTCCCTGAGCCCCTTCCATCCCTTTTACCCCCATGGAAGCCATTCTGCGGGCCCCTCAAATTTTCAGGTAATTATAGAGGTCAAATCAACGGTCAGATCTCATAGAGCTTCACCACAGCCCGCCCTACCCACATTCTCCTAACAAGGGAACACAACCTGAACTCTGGCTTGTCTGGAAGCGCAGTCACTATGCCAGCCCGTCCTCCCTGCTCAGAAAGGGGAAAAAGTCAGAACCTCACTGGCCAGTGAAGGATTATTCACAAGTAACAAATCCCCCCTCCCCCCACCCCCACCCCCCACCCACCCACCCACCCACCCCCACCCCACCCCCCCCCCCCGCAAATAAAGAAGTCAGCTGAGGCATGTGGTTGTAATGCCAGCGAATGTGAGTTTATTGAAAAAAACACACAGCAGCAAACTCCATTTTTTTTCAGAGACACAAAAGCAGAAGCCAGGAGACACAGCAGCAGGGTGAGCATGCGGACTGTTGGCAATAAAGCCTCTGGAGGCATCATGAGGTCTCAGACTGGACTGAGGGTGGCGAAGCCTCCAGAAGCATCAAGAAGCATACACAGCACCAGAAATCAAACCTTAATGTTATCTTAGTACTGGTGAGAAAGATTTTAGAGTGTCAAAGGCAGCCTGTGCGTAGCTAGTAGCCAGCAACTAGGCAGTCAATGACGGTCAGCGGTGACGTGTTCAGGCAGCATACTGGAAGATCCTGGAAAACACAGCTGGCAGAGGTTGGGGACTCGGCTGGCTCACTGGCTCCCATGCACTTAGCAAGTTCTTCGGCAGCTGGACACACAGGACTGCTGGTATGTCCTGGTGACTCCACAGGTTGGTTGGCAGGCGGTAGAGATGCCTCCCACTGGTTGGCAGGCGGTAGAGATGCCTCCCACTGGTTGGCAGGCAGTAGAGATGCCTCCCACTGGTTGGCAAGAGCTGGAAAAGCCTCCCAGGGACTGGCAGCCACTGGACACAAAAGTGAGTGGCCGGCTACAGGGAGTTGAGCAGGGATTGGAGACACAGGTAATCTGTCGATTGCAAGTTACCTGGACAGGATTGGAGATGCAAGAAGTTCTCTGGTAGCATGTTGGCTGGCAGGCAGTGGGCTCACAGCGTGACTCCTGACAGTGGTCCAGGAGCCAGGAACCAGTCTGGAAGGAACTGGGCAAATAGATGCCACTCAGGCAGTCCGCATCGCTGGCTGAAGCCGTGGTCACTGGGCCTGCTTGGACAGTGTAACGTCCTCCAACTGGCCTGGAAGAGCAATGTCTCGTGGAGCAGTTGAAAGACATGATGGTGGAGAGAGGACTGCCGTTGTCTGTCTTCTTGAAGTTCGCTGAATTGTGAATGCCACTTCAGCCTCCTGGGCTTTTATACATCCTTGCTCATGGGTGGGGCTCCCGTCTAGTTGCCTTGGCTTCTTTGGCTCACACCACCTTGCCTTAGAACATCTTGTGAATCTACAAGTTAATTGTCTCTCGAGAAGCCTTCTCCCTCGTAAAGGACGTTTAGTAGTTTGGTAACGAAATCATAAGTCTCCCGCACTGTACTTAGTCCGGGTTAAGAATGCTGGGGGATAGCTTCAAAGCTATTGGTCATCAGCACCCACACTTCATCCCCCATTTATCTTCTTGCATCTGATGAGTGTCCATCCAACCACAACTCCAAACATGCCACTGTCCCAACCATCAGACTCTCCCTTCTGGCCGGGACTGATTACAAGCTCACACCCTGCCTGGTTTGTCATTGGCAGTTAATGTGCTTTAAACACAACTTAACCAGTCACTCTTCCACAGCTAACGGAGCTTCTGATAAGGGGAGTTGCTCCTTCAAAATGCTTCATGATAGCGTTGACAAGATGGGCCAAGGAAAAGGACCCAAAGGTTTATCCAAATCAGGAGGAGGTCCTCAGTATTCCTCAAAGGACCGAAGCAGGAGACTAGAGGAAGGGGGGAAGGTGCTGGCATTCTTTCTGTTCCTTCAAGAGGGTGAGTTAGATGCTAACTAAGTGGGACTGAATTCACAGCCAAGACCCCTTTTAAATAAACTGGGTGAGAATTATCCCTGAACGTTTCACTCTGATAAAAATGGATAACAATTACAGGCGAGCCTCATTAGGATGCCGGGAGACAGGCTTCTGTAATTTTAAAATTATTATACTGTTAATTTAAAAAGCTACAGTCTTTCTCCCATTTTGGCCAATCTATTTCAGACATATTTACTTTTGTACAACTACTTATAGACAGGATGCATTTTGATCATGAATAAGGTAAAGACTCTCCAACGTCATTGTCTTTACCACAGATGAGAACAGACAAGGGTGGGAGACTCGGGCACTTAATCGATGCCTGGTAATAAATGAATATATGAAGAGGGTTCTGTAATACTTAATTATTCCTTTTCTGCTTGGGAAACCACGCAGATGCTGTTCTCCTTCGTTTCATCTCAGTATGGTAGGGTCAGCTCCGAGGAAGAAAACTGTTTCTTTGAGTTCATCTGTACACAGGTAAACCACCCACTTTGGCTAACAAGACAAATCCCTTCAACACAGCTTAAGGGGCCAGAGATATTTCTACCTCGAAAAGCTGTAAAGCCTAAAGAGTTTGGGACCTGGCTTACATAGGGGACGATGATGGATTTGCATAGATTTGATGGCTACAGGCAGGTCTACAAAGGGAACAGTTTTATGTCAGAACACATCAGAAGTCCCCTTGCAAGAGTATCATTCATCTAATTGGAAGCTAACGATATACTCAAACAAGAGGATGCTGGGCTGTGGTCTGCATTAGAAATCCTGCTTCAGTGACTCCAAGAATGTTCTCGGGAGCCTGGGGAGGAGGGAGGTGAGGGGGGACTAAGACATTAACGAGATGACTACTTTCCACAATGTTGTGACCCATGCTCTTTCCACCACTAAGAATGTCCCAGATGGCGTTTGAAGGTCTGAGTGCCAGGCTAGAGGGATGGGCTTGCCTGTTTTACAATAGCTGAGTCTTTTACAGGCTTCTACCAGCTGAGGACTTGTCTAGGACACAAGGGAAGAGAACTCAGTGGTGCAAATGTAAAAGGGACAAAGGCAGGAGACTCTGCCAGTGCCCAAAACCATGTTCCCGGAGTGGCAGAGCTTTTTTCTTAAGAGAGAATGTGTGTGTGTGTGTGTGTGTGTGTGTGTGTGTGTGTGTGTGTACACGCGCGCACGCAAACACTTGTGTCTCAGTGTGCATGGAGGTCAGAGGACAACTTTTAGGAGTCTCCTTCCACCATGTGAATTCAGAACATCAGGCTCAGGAGCAAAGACCCTTACCATCTCATCAGCACTGACTGAGATTTTTAAGCCATTATCTGTCTCTATTCAAGTTTCTGCTCAAAGTTGAAAAATCATAAGCAAGGAACCCTAGAAAACTCCTTCTGTGGGCTTCAGGAGGACAGCAAGGATGTGATTTTAGAGCACATACTTCTCAGTCAGCTGGTGAGTGGGCAGCTTCCTGTACCTTACCTCACCCGACCCTTCAAGCACTTCCATGGAAGAAGGAGGCATCAGAGCCCATAATAGACACGAAGTCCAGGGAGTCTTTCTGTTTGTATTCAACTAAGGGAAAATTTGAATACAGCAAAGTCTAAGAGCATCCAGGTCATAATTGGGCTATCAAAACATGATGGTGGGCTACCAAAACATGCTTGGATACCTTCACTAAAGCCTGATGAAGAAATTTATTTATTTAAATCAGTCTATCAATCCCACATGGATGACAGTATCAAAGTTATAATAAGTCATCTCTCCTATACGTCATTAACTATTTAGCAACAAAATAAATGGAAGGAGTCATTCTTCATAGCATTTAATACTTTTTGTTTAACTAGAGTGAGAATCAAGGTCATTTTGAGCAAAGCAAAACAAGACCCATCATAACTTGAGACTACAATTTGAACTCACAATTATTTATAATAGCTATGTAGGTAACTAATTTTCAGAGAATAGCAGAGCAGGGAATTGGCTTGTCCATTTTACACAGAACCTACCATTTTGCAGATGTTAAATGAAAATAATCGGTTGAATGGTTTCCTTAGACATTAATTACTGAATGAGACTACTGGTCTGAGCTTACATTGTGGCTAAAAGCACTGAAACCTTAAAATGATTTCAGCATCTGTGAGTCTTATTTTTTCAGTCAGGCCGAGGCCTTGCCAGCTAGAAATGAGAATGTGTTCCTGCCCTGACTTCTTCTGAAGCTTCATCCACAGCATTAGGAAAGCCACTCCATGTTTGCATGCAATCTCTTCTCAGGGGCACACACACAGATTTGATTTGATTTCTGTTCACTCAGAGTTGCAGAGGAGAGTGACCCGCTACGGTGGCCTGAAAGGCTTGGTCTCCAGTGCAAGGCTCAGAGCAGAAGCTTTGGGAAGATGATTGGGTCAAGTGGGTTAGTCCACTGACATATGCATAAGTGGATGGACTATGAGCAGTGGTGGACACTGTGGATGGTGTGGCCTGATTAGAGTTCACGGCCACTAGGAACGTGTCAGTGAAGGGATTGTTCACGCAGTCTTCATCCCCTCTCCTTTTCCACACCCCTGACTCTAGGCATCTATAAAGCAAGCAGCCTGCTCACGCATGCACACACATACAAATGCATGCATGCCCACTACAGTGTCTCCCCTCACTATATTCCCAACAGCGATAGGACTAGCTGAGCGGTGATAAAGTCTATGAGAACATGAGCCAAAATCAACCTTCCTCCCTTAACTTATTTGCTCACGACAATGAAGCAGAGACAAATACACCCACTGACAATCATGCGATGCTTGAATAAACTCCAGGGAATTCCAACTTGACAATATTTTAAATGGAATAAATGAATCACACTTTCATTAAAAAAAAGGGGGAAAAATCATTCAGCCAGATAGCCACTATCGCTCCATAGTCTGTGCCATATTAAACTTCAATGCAGAGAAAAGAAACAAAAGAAAGCTCGCGAGGATTGCTTACTGTCTCTCATTTGCAGACCATGAAGGGAGGAGATAGTGTGGTGAGAGCAAATGGGAAGAGATCAAAGAACCACTCTTGCCCATTATCTTCATCACAGATGGGTAATTGCTCTCATTTGTATAGAATGATCGAAATCTTATACAATAATTATCACTGCCTGGAAATGAGCAATTCTTTCACTCAAACTGAATCACAGCAATCACTTGCCAGACCAACCGTTTGGGAATGAAATGAGTTAGGCAGGTGTGGGAGGCTGAAGGCTGAGTATGCAGCGAGGACACTCTTCATCAGACGTTGGGAATATTTGACCAACACCAATCTAGAGAAAAACGACTAATTGAGTCTCATCAAATACAGGCATGGTGAATTCGCAAGAAAAATTAATAAATGCAAAACAAAATTTGCCCATTCTCTACTTGGAGGAAATGGCTGTCTTCTCAAAATGAGGCTGCTCATTGTCTCTTGAGAAATATAAAAGAAAATTCAAACTTTTATGAAGAGATCATTATGGTTGCTGTGAAACTTAAAATTAATTCAATCTCTGATGAGCAACTCTGCTTTCCTTTTTGACTTCACATGGGCTCTAGATTGGATCACCAAAATCCCTCCTAACTGAGACGTTAACTGAGACATTAGAAGCCCTTGAGGCTTGAGTGATGCACACCACAGAAGTGGGAACTCACGCTGCAAACTCTCTTCAGAAAGCACCAGTTTTAAGAAGAGTGGACTCTCACGTGCTGGTGCCAACAGCACAAACAGAAAACAGGGGTAAAAATAAGCCAGTGATGTCCACCAAGATGATTGCAGCTGCATGATCCACACAAAGACGGGGCTGGAGAGATGGCCCCGAGGTTAAGAGCACTGGCTGCCCTTTCCAGAGGTCTTGAGTTCAATTCCCAGCACTAATGAGATCCTGTGTCCTCTTCTGGCCTGTAGGCAGGCATGCAGGCAGAACTCTGTATACATAATAAATAAATAGATCTTTAAAAGAAAATAAAGCCTTCAGAGGCTGCCGCTGAAGTTGCAGATTCTTGAAAAGGACCATTCTCTCGTGTGGTTTTTAGTATGTGCTTTTTGACCATGGACCAAAATGAAGGTTCCACTGGGGAAGGCAAAAAGAATCTCAAGGGTTGCTGTTTGTTTGTTGTTTTAAGTTCTCATGTGGTATGATCCATGTGCAGCTAGCTGGCCTGTGCTCCAGTCCTGTCCTCCCATGTCAAGAGATGAAAAGTCTCTGGTGAGCAGACATTAATTAGGAAGTAGTATTTATGTACAAGGCCTACGAGAGAAGACATTAGCTCACTCACTGTGGATCTTATTATTGATTT